ATATTAATTTAAATAGGAATTTGTTAATGTAAAAGAAAAACTATTAAATTAATGCAAAAAAAATATGAAAAATATTCAATTATAATGAATTTATTTTGAAATGTTTTTATATTTATTTATTAACTTAAATTGTATTCAATCATTCAAATATTTATAAAATTAAGAAAATGAATTAAAGATTCATAAGTATAATTGACTTATGATAGTAATCTCATACAGTTTTTGACATATTTATTAAGTTATTAAAGCCATAAAATTTGAATAAGGATTATCTATCGGTCAATAAATAGAAATCTAATATGACTTATTAGAGGTATTATCATGAATGAACCTAAGTTAATTTTGGAAAAATTATATAATATAATCCATAATAATATAACACATTCATGATAAATTTCAACTTTTCATTTATAAAGTAAATTTGTTAAGATTATCATTTGTATTTTATACAATAATAACAATTTATAATATATTTGAATTATCTATATCACAAATCCTCAATTGTTGGATCGTCGTCTCCTTAGGTCTGACTATCCTATTAATCTTAAAAATTTTCATCTTATTATTATTAATTTTATTATTCTTCTTTTTCATCTTATTAACTTTATTGTTCTTGCTTTGAGCCCTTTGTTGGATCAGATTCTGAATCTTTTTTATTATTTTATTACTTTTTCTCCTCTTTCTTCTTTTTTTCTTCATCTTTTTATTCCTGAGTCTTATATAATAATTATTATATATACTTTTCTAGGTTTAGAAATAGATTTTATTTTAGTGTATTCTTCACTCACTTTATCCATTTTTTTCTTCAATTCTTCAATCAAGAAGGCTGGGTCTTAATGCAATTCCCTCTTTTCTTATTCCTCTAATTTGGATTTAAACCAATCTGTAGTGTTTGTAAGATGTCCTAAGAATTTAGCTTTTTTCTCTTCAGGAACCCATGGCATAGTTGAATTAAGTGAATTTGCCTTTTTATGGAAATCAGTTAATTTTGTGATTGTTTCATTAATGGCTTAAGGTCTAGCTTTAGCTTCATCTAATCTAACTTATATTGGTTTTAACCTATTTTAATAAGATATAATAATTACATATTATTTAATTAAGTAAATTTAGTGTTGAATTTTTCAAAATCAGCTGTCCATGCTTCATCACTATCAAGATATTCAGCATGTTCTTCTATTGTCTTTAAGATTTCATTTCTTTCAGTTTCAGTTGAAGCTTTTTAGAAATATTCAGCATCTTTGACTTCTCTGACTGTATAAATAAGAGATTCTAATTTATTTTTAATTTCACTTAATTTTCTACTATTTTCTTCAGCAGTTTCAAATTATTTAATAATTTTTTTAGATTCATCAATTTCTTATTAATTTAATCCCAAGACAAAATGATGAGTAATAGTATAATTAATAGGGAATGTATGAATAATTTTCTATTTTTTAAATTAAGGTACTTCTACTACAGGTTCATCATTTTTTGGTGGTTCTTCTATTTTTTAAACTTCTTCATCTACTTATTATTCTGTTTCTTCAGATAGATCACCCTCTTCAGTTGATTCATTTTCTTTAGTTTCAGTTTTATTTTTAGATTAAGTTTTATCTTATGATGATGTTGTATTAGTTGTTGTAACATTAGGTTTAATTTCAATGAGTTTAATTTCTTCAACTTTCATTTCAGCACTCTCTAATTTAATAAATTCATTTGAAGTGGATTTAAAAGTAAGAGAGATTTCTGGTTTAGTGAAATTGAGTTCTGTAGCATTAGTTATATTATTTAAATGATAAGACATTAATTTAGATCTTTAACCATCTTTTTCTACATAGATATCTAATCTTAAATTCTTATCATAAGTGAATTCTAAAGAACGAGTACTTCCATATTTCTTTTTATATCCAAATAATGAAAATTCTTTATGATAATCATCATCATTCACTCCATTAATTTCAATTGAACTACTGAAACTAAAACCATCAGTTAATTAAATTGGTCTAACTTTAAAGGAATGAGACAGATTAGCAGCATGGAATGCAGCACCAAATGCCATAGATTCATCTCCATTTAAATGTGTTCCTACTTCTACACTTCCAAAATAATTGGCTAATATCTATTAAATTTTAGGAACTCTAATGCCTCCACCAATTAATTCAACAATATTAATATCTTCTTTAGTTTTGTTACATTTTTCTAAAACATAATTAATTGGATCAATTAATTGTTATAGTCTATCTTCAAATAAGGATTCAAAAGTTGATCTCTATATTGATGTACTATAATCTTCTCCATCAATCAAACCTTCTAAATAAACCTAAGTTTCCTTATTTGCTGATAATATTTCTTTATATTTATTAGATGCCTTCAATAATTTATTCATTGCTCTAGAATTTGTAAATATTGATTTCTTTCCTTATCTTGATGGCTAACTATCAAACTCTTTGGCAAAATGATTTGCTAGTAAAATATCTAAAGATTATCCACCAGCATTTGGTATAGAATAATCAGCCAAAACTCTTAAAGTTTCAATCTTTTTTTTTTGAGAATCAATAGCTTAGAATTCAACCAAAGAAACTTGAATATTATATGAACCTATGTTATAAAATAAAGCAGTATGTTTATTTTCATCTTAACGTTCAAGTGCATAATACAAAGCAGCTGCTGTATTTTCATTGATAATTCCTAAAACTTCTAATTCTGCTAATTATGCGGCTGATTTTAATGCTCTAAACAAAATATTTAATTTTTAATTACGATCTCTAACTTATGTTCCATTCACTTGGTACTGTCAATACAACATCTTTAATTTAGATTTAATGATTGAAATCTACTAGCTTAGCTATAAATTTAAGAACCATTCCTGCTAATTCTTCAACCTTTACAATCATAGTATCCTTTCCTTCTACCAATACACCATCAACTTCAAAAGCAAATGTTCCTTCTCTCTAAAATTATATTGTTTAAATCTTTACCTCCTCAATCTCTATTTTAAAATCTTCATAAGACTATTTAGAAATTTCTACAATTTTTTCGTCATTTGCTAATGCTCCTAAAAATTTATTTAAGAATGTAAATGTATTCTTAGGTGATTTGGATTTTTTTGAAACACCATCACTCTCATACAATCGCTCTTTATTATAAAATGCAATCTTAAGTATAAATAATTGATCATACAGCATTTTCTGTTTTACGTTTACTAGTAGTATTCTCTATGATTGTGAAAGATTTGCCTGGACTTATTAAAACTGCCTTGATGAATTCAGATCCGAAATCAATACCCAATACTGCTCCATTTGCAATGATAGCTATGAGACAAAGGAGTAAATATTTAATCATTAATAAAAATCAATAAAATATTCTAGAATAATTTAACAAACTCTTATATACACGTGTATTCTGACACTCATTCAATTTACCTAGACTCTAAGAATAATTCTAATTATTATTTTATACTAAATGATTCCTCATAATACGAATCAAATTATCCTATTATATATTAAATATATATATAATTATATTTTAATTATCCTTTTCATAAATCACTAAATAGATTATTTTTTTTCCATTTATATTCTTAAATCATCAATCAACCAAATATGATTTTTTATTCTTACAATTAAAAATATGTATTAAATATCTTAAATTAAATAAAAATATAATATATGAACCTATATATCATATCTTTGACAAAAATAATTTAAAATATTAATGTAAAGAGTTCTTATCTAATATTGATCTTGCTAATTATAAATGATAAACTCCTTTCTATTTTAAAGATCGCATAATTTATAGATATCTATAACTACTATTTAAGTTCATTATATATAATTTATTTTATCATAATCAAAATATCAATATAAATTTCCTATTGTTGGACATAAATAGTTGGCCGTATTCAAATCTATATTTTTAATTAATTCCAGATTACTAGACTATTTTAAATCTCTTCATTTTGAAAATTCCAATAATATTTCTTAAGATGTTTATATCAACTATATTTTTTTTCTTTGAACTAATAAAGAATCACAGAAGAATTGATAATTTTCTAATGTAAAATTTCAATCAATACATTTAAAGTTATGTTATATATATTAATCTATCAATTCAAACATCTCTCTACAAACTATTACAGTCATCTCCCTCCTTTATTTTTTATATTCATGGAATCAATGTAATTGATCAATTTAAAATAATCAATATCAATTTTTCTACTATCCCATTTATGGTCATTGTAAACTTTTCTTTGGATTATGTAAAAGTATCAAATTCATCCACTTATTTCTTTTTCAATCTTTATATCAATATTGAAAATAATATCTAGGAATTTTAAATACAGAAGCTATTATATATTAATGTTTTAATAGATGATAGATCGTTTCTTTTAAAATTGATATCAATTCTGATATTGGAAAAAAATTCTTCATTTATTAAAATTCAGGTACAATCAAAAGTTATTAGTTCTCGGATTTCTTATCATATCTATAACATAACCATTATCAAAATCAAAAATATCTTACTATGATTTATTTAATATTAAAAAATAATATAGAAAAAAAATTAAAATGATTTTTGTTCAATACTTTATTATCTTGGAAGTCAGTAATTTTCAATTTATCTCTTTTCCATATAGTTTTTAGACAAAAACTATGTATTTATCATTTCAGTTATTTCTTATATTTTAGAAAGAGGTATTTCACTACTTAATTGTACTTTTTTATTAGAAATAATAATAATAAATTTAAAAACATTTATTTTTGAATTTATATATTATTATTTTAAAGATTTTGAAAAATAAAATTTTCTTTTTTTGGATAGAAAAATAAAAATTAGGAGGAAATTTAGATATCTCATTCATTTGGAAAGGTTTTTAAATTTATTCCCATATACTTTCTGGAAACATTGATATTTGTTAGCAATAAAATATTTATATGTGTCTTTAAATAAGTAATTATTGCAATAACTCCCATTTTTTGATATGACTTACTAAGGATTTACAAGTGGAGATATGGATAAAGATGCTTATGCTATTTACAGAAGCAGGATTGCCCATCATTTTAGGTTAATCATTTGATTAAAATATGGGATTGTCAGGTTAGAGAATTGGATGCCTCAGTTTAGTTTGTTCTAATGAAAAAGAAGAGAGATGGTTAATTCATAACTAAATTTGATAGCCAGATCTCTTTGGTCCTGTCCACCTGTTCATGGTGCAAGAATAGCAGAAACAATACTAAAAAACCCAAAAATATATTAATTATGGTTAAAAGAAGTCAGACTCATGGCACAAAGAATATAAAATATGAGATATAGCTTTACAAAAGCCTTAAAAGAATTAGGATCACCTCATGATTAGTCTTACCTCTCAAAGTAATTTGGATTGTATTCATTTAACAGTAATAAATATTTATTTATTTCATAAGGGTATTGGACAACTTAAAATAAATAAATTAATGGAAAAATATCATATTTATTTATTAGAAAATGAAGGTATATCGATTGCTGGATTGAATGATAATTATATCAAATATGTTGCTATGGCATTCCATGAAGTGACAAAAAACACTTAAATATGATTTATAACGATTATATAATATAATAACCTTTATAGCGCATTATTTTTAATTAAATCAAAATTTCTTAATTCCAAAACGGATCAAAATATATATAATACTTTTTGTCGTTTTTTCTTAAAATAATCATAAATACCATTTTTTTTTTATTATTGTTACTATCATTTATCAAAGGATGATGTTATATTATTGACTAATTATGTGTATGACTATTGTTTACTTAATCAAATAATTCATCTTAACCTATTATTTAGATATTTAATAGTGTTAATCCAACATATCAATATTTTATTGAATATTAAAGTATTAAGAGATAAATTGTCAGGTATTAATGGAGATCAAAATATATAGATTGTTTATTATCAATTAATTATGGTAAACTAATAAATTTCTGAATGTATCAGTTAATGTTACTATATTATTATGAGTAAATACTTAGAGGGTTTAAAAATTGAATTAAATACTATATTTAATCGAGATATTTCAAGTATTCCATTTTTAAGAATTATTGTTTGATTATTAATATTAGTATTATTATAAATATTATTTTTATTAATTAGTATTTTCAGGTCAACAAGACAAATATTCTTAAGTTATTTAATAGATTCAACTTTTGTAAAACTATGAATAATCTTATATTAATAATTTCCAGATGTTTTAATATGTCTAAAAGCCTTTTGCTGATTGAAATCAAATAAAAAAATAACATATTTTTGTTAAATGGCTCAATCAACCAACTGTTGGATCATAAAAAAATCCATGAAATTATGTAATGTATTTTTAATTATTACTTAAATAAATGATATAATATTAAACTCATCAATATTACGTCCCTGTTGCTTAGAACAAATTATTAAAACTAATAAAGAAAGCATACTAATAGAATTAAAAGTTTATAATAAGGAATTCATTATTGTAGATTTCGAATATAGCGAGTCTTAAATTTAATCCTCACTGAACTTAAAGGAATTTTTATTAAGACCTTAAATTTAGGGAAAAAAAGATTCTTAGAGCATAAATGAAAATAGGCAATCACATCTTATTAAATCAGTAATTCTATTATAATAAATTAGATTAATTCATCAGTCCTTATGATAAATATTTTATTGATTAGATGTTAATAAAAGATTTATACATAATCTATTTAATTTTCAATTAATTCCTCTGAGTTATGATATGAATAAACTCAATATCCTTATAAAATAAATTCTTATAAGATTAAATTTACTATAGATGAATCTGCTTATTTAATATTAATAGAATAGTTAGCAATTTTTATTATTCTTGATAAAAGAACATAGGTATTTCAAGGAGAAACATTTAAATGATTTAATTTAATTTCATTATATAAATATATTATCATTTATAAATCCAGTCTATTCAATTGATTTAAACTCTAATTTTACTTTTAACTGTCATTAAAAAACACTTTTATAATTTTCAAATAGTTCAAAAAATTAAAAATTACAGACATTTCTAATTGATTTTAGCTTTATTAATTTAATTCTTGAAGTTGCAAATATCATTTCTCTCTCGTTTTAATTCTCTACAAGACTATATGAACTTCTGTTAAGAAATAAATTAAGAACTATTTAAATTAAGTTCTAATTTAATTCTAGTCTCATTTATTTATTATCATAACTATATTTAGATTAAAGTTTTATCAATTAAATACAATTAATAATAATTATTTATAAACAAAATGTTATTAAGAAATTCAAACCCATTCTAAATCTTCTGTGGTTTGCCAGCCAGTTATATCAATAATAGGTCTATCAGTCATTGTTCTGATCGGAGAAAAATTTCTTTAATTACTTAGATTCAATCCTGTATTTAATCTACTAGTATTTGATACTTATTTAAAAGATGACTTTAAATTAATAGAAAATGTTTTTATAGGTTTTTTTGATACTTTTAGAGGATTAAATATCTCTATTTATTATCTATTTTCTCTTGTTTCTTGTTTACACTATTATTATCTAGAAAACATCATTTAATTCTTTATTTATCTTAATAAATTGCTTTTCTATGGTAATATAGGTTAATTTTCCATATTTATTTGTTGAAATTTTCGACTTTGGCCTTCAGAAAATGGTCTTGTATGAATATTCATTGATTTCTTTTAATATAAAGAACTTGCTTATATTTTGTTTTCAATTAATACAGGATTATGTTTATCTAAATTAATTTAGAATCATACTTACGTAAAGTAGATCGTTTATTAATATTTAATTGAGTATCAACATGATGTTTAAGACATTGAGGATTAAAAGAATTATTTGTATTTGATCGAATAAGTTTATTAATGAGGCATTCCAAATAATAAATATCTACTGTTGTTGTTGATTTCTTTTGTCTCTTCATTATTTAATTTATATTAATATAAAATTATTCATTTTTATATGCTTTACAATAATATTTTTATAACAATTCAAATAACATTTTATTTTCAGCATAAATAGAATGGCATTTAATCACTTGTATTATATTTTAACCAAAAATTAAATTGATTCAAAACTTTAAATATTAAAAATTCTATATTGATATTATTATCATAATTAAATAGATAAATATAAAAAAATATACTCAATCAAGAATCTAATTAATAGCTATTAAATTAAAATTGATCATCAAAATGTAAAGTATAATTAAAATTAACAAAGATTCCTCCTCATAAATTTGTTGTTTGTATATTTTATAATTTTTTTATTATTAAACTTAGTTCTTAATATATTTCGAGATAGAAAAGATCATAAGTTTAGGAGTAAAAAAAATTGATGTAGAATAAAGCAATTAATAAGTTCTGTAAAAATTTGTAATTATTAATTAATTTAAAATATAATGATTTAAATTTTTAACTATATTATTGAAATAGAGATATTTTTAATTCAAATATTGTTGTGAATACTATATTTACTTTTGTTAAACACTTTTCTAAATTCCTGCATATAAACTGAATTACTCTTTCTTATATTTACAGAATCTTATCTCTAAGTTATTTTTTAAGGTATTATAGATTATCTATGTGTCGAAGAAATTCTTGGTTTAGATTCATCATTTAAGGTCTTGCATATATTGGCATAACTTTGTTATTATTTTTACATCTTTATTGATTAATCTTAATAAGTACTTGTTATTTCATTAATGTTGCTAATGATGATTAATAAGGATTAGTTGTATTATGTGAAGATGAGGTTTTGTGTCTCAAATTCGATTAATAGGAATCATTTTCTAAGTTTATTTTTAATCTCATCTATTATTTTAAATAGGATTCTAAATCTATATTACAATTACTTTAAGGGTTCTATGTTAAATTGTTTGTGTTATAATCTTATTATTTTATACTACGATAGCTTTTAGATTAAGTATTATTTTACGAATTCCTAGCTTATTATTTTAAAAAATAATCTAATTTGTAAGATTAATGTCTTTATATCGAAATGTCTTTGTGTAATTATGTTTGTTGTTGATTATTTTTGCTGTAAGTATAAATTTCAAAGGCATACATACTTAGGAGGATTAGTGCAAATTGCAAATGAACGTTCTAAAGATTTGCAAATGGTTTATGGTTTACTATATGTAGTTACATTTTAGTTCAAAACTTGAATGTTGTCAAAGAAACTGTCATCCATACTCATATTTTGAATTTAAATAAATAATAAAATAATAAAGGATAAATAAAAAAATCTATATTGAAATCCTTTTATTGCTGATTTATTAAGAGAATTTATTAATTCAATACTATATGCCATCTTTTAGAAATAACAAAAAGTAGATTAACCTACAATATGTAAAATATAAAATTTAGAATGCAATTAAATTTGTATATAATTCTGTCCAATATTTAAAGAAGGAGAATTTTCTGTTTAATATTAAAATAATAAAAGCATTTTATATAAAATAATAACGGATATTGAACAACTGCTATAATTAATCCATTAATTTATTATTCTCCATTAAATAAATGTTATAATGATAAATTGGAAATAAGGTACAAAATCTGCAGTATTTATAATCACGCTAGTAACAGTTTAAACAGGATTTTTTTGTTATTTAATAATTAATCAACTCTTTGGGATAATTTTTAGTTTATGCTCAATCAAAAAGATAGTCAGTGATTATTCTTTAAAAAATTGGTTTTAAAATAGCATCTATTAAGAACACTGTATAATTTCTAGAGCTTTTATTCAAAAACTGACCAACTTACAATAAATGAGACCTGATAGTTTTTTGATCGAACTGTAACTAATTAATAATAAAATGAAAATAAAACATTTATTGTATTTACTAGATTTTATGTATATAAAAATTGAAATTCTATCTTTTTAAGATTATCTCACGTTACTAGTTTCTATGTGAAATATTTTTAATTATAAATCAGACCTTACATATGTTTTTAAATGTTAAAAAGATGAAACAAAATGATTCTTTAGATAATATGACAAGATTGATAAAAATAAATACTTATGTGTTAAGTTGATTATTTTTTATTATTCATTAAATTTTATATGAATAAAAACTCAAATACTTAGTAAAACATTTATTGAACTTAATAGTGATACTCTAATAAAAGTTGTGATTGTAGGAAACTGTAACGTTGGAAAATCTTGCATTTTAATGAGATATTCTGAAAATTATTTCACATCACAATATTACAATACGATTGGTGTAGACTTTGTATTTATAGATTTTATTTAGAGAAAACTAGAGTAATTAAAATAGGGAATTAAGAAGTGAAATTGCAAATTGTATTTATTCTAAATTATTTTAAGTGGGACACAGCAGGATAGGAGAGATTTAAGGCTTTGACAAATAATTATTACAGAGATGCCCATGGAGTTGTAATTGTTTATGATGTGACTGAAAGATCTACATTTGATGCAGTAGATAGCTGGATTGAAGATATAGACAAGTATTGATTTACTTAAGCAATTTAACAAAGGTATGGGAGAAAATCAGTTTAAAAATTAATAGTCGGCAATAAGGCTGATATACCAAATAAAAGAAAAATTAGCATATAAGAAGGTTAAGAGAAAGCAAAATCTTATAATGCTTAATTTCTTGAGACATCAGCTAAAACATCAGAAAATGTGGATAAATTATTTATTTCAATTTGTGAACAAGTCATGAATATGAAATAGTAACAGCCTTATAATTAGAATAATAATTTAACTAAATAATAATAGAATTAATCTCAGAATAGGAATAATAGTAGAGGATGTTGCTGATGTATTTATTTAATTCTTTTTGGTTTTATAATAATATTTTTTTATGTATAAAACCAGATTAATGGATTGATATTTTCATATATTTATTTAATTAACTTTTTATTTTGTGATGAAAATAATTATAGATGGAATTACCGTCTGATTATTATTTGATGCTAATATGGCTATATCTGATATATCTAAAATATTAATATTTATCAAGTTGATGAATAATGGAATCTCATTATATGAGATTAATGATTAAAAATTTCTATATCTGACAATATATATCATCCATATAATAATAATTATAATAATTTATATTATTAAATGATGCATGAAGAGTAAGAAGTGGAAATCACTTCTGAATAATTACAATCAATGAAAATGTGTAAAATCTTCAAAGATCACGTAAGATTTGGATTCTAAATTTTAGCAAAAAGATATAAATGCTATTGATTTTTCAAAAGACGGATAATATTTAGTCTCTTGTGATGATTAGGCTCTTAATGTATATGATGTTCATTAGGGAAAGTATATTAGTTTTTGATGATATAGGAAAATGAGAACACTCTACAATAAAGTTAAGGAAATAGATCTAGTGAGATTTACACATCATAATTCATGTGTTTTATGTGTCACAAAAAAAGAACCTTATGATATCTATTATTGGTCATTACATGATAATTAAATATTGAAGAAGTTCACGGGACACACTAATATGTAAAATAAAATTGAATTACCTATCTTGATAGAATACATTGGCTAGATTTATCACCTGTCTCAGATGATTTTTTAAGTTGTAGTATGGATGGAACATTAAGATTGTGGAATTTAGCATCAGAATACTAAACATCTGATGGTTTATTAGATTTAACTGCTAAAAAAACATTTTGTGTAGCTGCATTTGATCCATCAGGATAAGTATTTGCAGTAGTGTTTTTGGAATAATATTATTGTATATCAAATAATTGGTTATACTTATATGATTTTAAAAAATATCATTCTGGATCATTTTAATCCAAAAAGATTAATTGTAGTCAAGTTAAATGTATTAAATTTAGTAATAACAACAAATATATTTTATGTTCTACAGGAGATGGCACAATACTTATTTTAGATGCTTATTTATTAGATACAGTATATAATTTAGTTAATAAATAGATTTGTGAATTAAGTGATTTCAGCAATCAGGGATCCATGATAGAAGCTGGCTTTACTCCTGATTGCAATTATGTAATAAGTGGAAGTGAAACAGGTACTATACATATTTGGAGTCTTCCACTTGGAAGTTAAATTGCTAGATTAGATGGACATCAAAAAAGAAGTAAAGTTGTTAAATTCTGTCCTACACATTTTTTAATGGCAAGTGGTTGTAGAAATTTAGTACTTTGGATTCCTGATTAATTTTCAATTGATACAATGAATAATAATAATAATAGTAGAAGAAGTTTAATGAGCATCTGAATTTAATTCATGTATTATATATATATATATATTATAAATAATATTTATAATATAAAATGTAATAATATAGTAGCATAGAAGTAAATTAATATTTACTATCTTATCTAGCAATTTGATGAATTGATGAGTAGTAAATTTTATATAGAAGAGGTATTTGATGAAATGCAAAATGAAAAGGTGGAAATACCAAATACAGATAAAAATAAAATCATGTTAACACTTGTAATGTATATCTTCTATATAAAAAGGAAGAAAATCTAAAAGAAAAGAATGATTTCTTACTTTCAGATGAATTTAATTAGTTTCAATAATTGCTAGTTATTTCTTTGATTACTATCAATTTTTCTAGTGATGATCCATTTTTCAGACATATTACTATGGTTGTGAAGGCAATCAAAAAAGCCATTAAAAAAAGATTGATTTAGGACACTAATTACTTCTAATCAATTTAAGAATATAAAGTAAGATTCATTTTTTCTATTAGAGAATTAATAATCAACTCTCTTTAAAATTTTTTATTAAGATATAAATATTGGATTCATTACATCCACATTACAAATAAAGTCTACAGCATTCATATTTATTAATAAAGCAATAGCTGATAGTTTTATGAATAAGAAAATATCAATCGAACAAAAAAATGAGCGAGCAAGATTGACTCTCTCTTTTTTTAATATAAACATTTAGAAAGAATTAACTGTGTAATAAGATTTTAAAAACTAATTTTTAAGAAACAGTAAATTCAAAAATGAATTTATTGTCTTAAATGAAGAATTTGATCAACAGAAATAAAGTACAACTTATCATGTCTATAAGCCAATGGATGATTAAATTTATTTTGTTAAACGAGTAAAAAACAACCTAATTATAGATTTAATTGTAAGGCATTCCTATTAATGTTACATTTCAAGATATATTTAATACAAAAAGTTCTAATTAAGATTACTTAACAATTCAAGAAGCACGTATTCTATAACGTATTTCACATCCAAATATTATCAGACATTATGATTGGTGGCTTGAATCAAAAAATTAACAATTATTCCTCTACACTCAAATTGAATATTGCATTTATCCAGGATATATCTCTTAAACTAAGAACTTATTGAGTTATTCTTATTTTTATATGAATCCTATGCCATAAGAATAGAAGAGCAAATTAATAATTGAAATAATCTTCTAAGTTATAAGTGGTTTGGAGTATTTGCAAAAAAAATAAATAATTCATGGAGATCTTAAGCCAGAAAGTATTATGGTTACTAAAAGTATTACTGGGGACATCTAAGTAAGCCTATTCTTCTATAAATGAGGTAATGTTAGCAGACTTGAATCATTCATACTCTTATTTTGAAGATATGCAAAAATAATTCAAATAAGATTAAGCATAATATAAATAATAGAGTCTTTAAGCTTTGGGAGTATTAATAATGCATCTCATTCTCACATTTCCTGGAGAACCAACATTAAGAAATAATTATATAACCAAATTTTCAAATAACGATATTGAGGATTCCCTAAGTGAATTTGATAAATGGGCATAAAAATCTGTAAAAAATAGACATAAAGAATTTTCATTTTTTTTATATAAAAATTTTATGGTTTTAGCTAAATCACTTTTAAAGAAATAGAAATTTAATGAATTGCATGAAGTAAGAACTTTTATTTAAAATAATAAATAATTTGATCATCTATAAGTTTGATTTATTTTATAGTTTTTTTTATAAAAATAAATAAATAATAATGTAAAAGAGATAGTCTCATACCAAACTACCATCAGAAGTCATTCATTCTAATAATTATTATATTATGCCAAAATCGCTTAGGTATTAAATTTCATTTACAAAATTTCAGATCATCATAGACATCAGCCTAAAGTTCGGAGAGGAAAAAGGTTGTTTCGACTAAGAATGTTGATTAATTCGAGTAAATACATAATCCTGAAAAGCTTTTAAAAACAAATCATTAAAATACTACTTATTAATCTAATTTGGAATTACAATAAGCATTACATTATTCTTAATAAAACAATTAATATCTATCTCGTTATCATTAATAGTTAATTTAGAATAATGTAGATCTTTAAAGTCTTTATAATAAATCAGAAACAGAAAATAAAAAGTTATAAAATGAACTAAAACTATTGTAAAATAGAATTTCATTAAAAGAAAGTGAATTAAAGTAGGCTTAAGACAATGGAGTTTAATATATGAAGGATATTGCATAATTAAAGATTTCTATATAAAAAGTATATTATTTCTATTTATAAAATAAGCTTAATTCTACATTGATTAAATTGAAAGAAGAAAATGCACAATATAAAGAATAATAAAATATCAGTGAAACTTAATATTTTCTAACTGGTTAAGGATTATCCAGCCGAAAAGATCTAAATTAACATAATGAGGTCAACTTGAATGGATCAAAATACTCTTAAAATTCTCGATAATAATCTTAAAGTTTTTAACTTAACTCTGCATTTACTAATGATAATATTTAAAGTTATTAAAATTAAATCTTGCAATTTTAAAAAGAGTTAGAAGAAAAAAATTAATTAATAATAGGTTTGCAATAACAAATCAAAAACTTGACAGAGTTTTAAAAATAATTAATGACAAAATCACCAAAAAAATTACACAATAAAGGATTAAAAAGTTAAATGTATTCAAGTCCTCGTTAAACACCCATTAATAAATTGCAAATTAATAATGAAAGTTAAATATTTAGTCATAGAAACCTTTTAAATTTAATTGATGAATAATAAAAGCCTGATATTTAACTTCATAGAACCAGATAATCAGATGAATTTGATGTAAAATATTTTATTATAATAGGTTGGACCAAGCATTAAATCATCTATTACAAATCTAAAGAGCAAATAACAATTATAATAGATATATAAGAAAATTAATTAATCTACAATATATACTGCAGGTTTATATTCCAGTTTGTTAGATTATTAATATTTATCTAATGTAATGTTATTAATTATAGTTTTAGAGTAAATTATTGAGTTCTTCTTGTTCTAAAGATACATTATAACAATGAAGATCTCTTAAAATATTTTAATTTATTAAATTTATTTGTTATTGAATAATTTAAATACTACCTTATATTAGAAAATTTATTCTTAAAAATCAAAAGATATAAGTTCTTCAAATATGTCTAACTTATTTATTTATACATAAAATGAAAGAATATAATAAATAGTTATCATATTTAAAGGTCAAAAATTTATAATTTAAATAGTATTCAATAATAAAATTTCAGTAAATTTCTATTTTATCATAATCTTAGATTTAAGATACTAATATAAATAAATATTTATATGTTTTAATTTCTTGAAAGCAATTGCCTACTTCTGGCTTAGCAAAAAGTATGAATGTAATTACTAAATAAGGTCAATTTTTTATAAAAATAATTAGATCTAAACATAAGTTATTTAGATAATCAAATAATTAGATATCATAATTAGCTTTGAGAATATTCCCAACTATATAGATTAAAGGTTGATCTCAAGTTAAAAAATCTAACTATTTAACAATTAATTTTATCCGAAATAAATTTAAATTTCTTAAGATAAAATAATCTCATTTTTAAATGGCCAATATATAATTATATTTTTTAAGGTATGTGTTTTCAATTGGATATGATATTTATATTCTTTCTTAAAGAAGAAGTTAGGAAAGACTATAACAGATTTTATAAAATATTAAAATAATAATCCTTTTCAACCTACAATATTTATGTATAAATTTCATTTTAATAAATATCTAATTAGATAAAGAAAGAAAGATTTATGTTATTTTGCAAAGTATTATTGATGAAATTAAGAATCATTTATATTTAAGAACTATGACTTCATGATTATTTCTTTATTTTATATTAAAATTTTATTGAATTGATATTTTTTGCTAAAAAACACCAATCATCATTTTATTTTAGTTAAACTTAGAGAAGTTCAATTACTTTTAGATAGGGTTATTGTTATTTTGATTTGGATTATTTATTTTAGATACAATTTACAATGATTACAAAAATTTGATGTCTAAAATTAAAGATAATGAGAATTCATTCCTATTTGATTTTTGGGATTAATATTTTAGATTAAATTATTTAACTAAAGATTTTAGGATTGGAAGATTACATGCTGCATATAAATGTCCATATCAATCTTATTTAAAATAATAAATTAATTTCAGAATCTTACAAACTAGATAATTTTCAGTTTAATATGTATGTTTATGTTTGTATTTGTATTTGTATTTAATTTTATTTTTAAAATTAGGATTTTAAAATTTTAAATTATTATAATAATATTTTTGGATTAGATGTTATTATAATCAGAAATTTGAAGTTTATAAGGGATACATCTTTATTATGAAATTATATGATACATGATAAATTAATCACTTGATTCTAAAGTTTTAGATAATGTAAATAACAACATCCTTACAAACATATATATATTATATTGATTTAAATTAAAAAAAAGATATAATATGAGAGTAAAAGGTAATAATACAATAAGATGACAATCTCAAAGTATAATATTTATTGTTTCCTTTTATAAATATATAAATTTATAAAAATACTCCATCTTAAGTCTGTTTACCAAAAAATAAATTACAATAATTTAATCAAATGGGTTGTTCAATCATCAAATAAGGGAAGTTTGATTAAGCAGAATAAAAAAAATGCCTTATTGAGCAAAAATCTCAGGTTAAGAAGAAGAGTTTTTTTTATAGATATTCTTTTAGACTAGAAGATATTTCATAGAGTACATTAATGATGAGAAGAATATAAAAAGTGAATTGATAAAGAAAAACATACCAACTAATCATTCTCAAATAAAAGACATCTTTTAGAATGATTTAGTGTTGTTTGTTTTATTATATTATGTTTCACAAATCAAGATTAAAACTTATTTTTTATTTTTGATCTTTATCCTTTATCCTTTTGGACAATAAAGTGTTAATCTAAATGAAAATGATCAAATTAAATATAACCTTTTGAAATTGGAATTTCAAACTAATATTCAGTGAAAATAAGGATTTCAGTTAGGACAATAATTAGATGTAAATAAATATAATATTATCAAAGTCAAAAGAATTTATATAATATACACTAAATTAGGTTGGATATAGATTAGTTTTATTGATTATTATAATGAAAAGAAATTAAAAAATATATAAACATGTTTAGCAACAATTATATTTTATTAAATAATTATAAGTAATTATAATATTCTAAATATTTCTCTTAAAGATATAAAAAATTTCCTTCTAATTTATTCAAAAATAGTTAAAATTATAATTATATAAAAAAGCGTCTAATATATATAAAAATTTAAATTGTTTATCTTATTTCATTACACTTAGTATTACCTAGATTATTAAGTGATTTTTTTAAATATGTGAATATAAAGTAATTACTTAATTCATAGATTAATGATGAAAATTGCAAGAAACAAAGTATAAAAATTTATATTATATAAATTAAAACTAAATAAATGTACCGTTTTTGTGTGATAATTTAATAAAATGAAGGTTTTTGCTATAATGGCTTTGTTGCTGATAACAGCATACTCTCAATCAAATGAAATAGATGTTGTGTTGAAGATGCTTGCTGATTTAAAAAATGGCACAATCAAGCAATTATAAGAATTAGAGAGTGATTGGGAAGCAACAAAATATGTAATGTGTATAATATGACTTTCGATCAGCAAAAACAAGACATTGTTAATGATTTATAGCGTTCAGCATCAACTTAAAGAGGTGAATGCAATAGAAGAGATTAAGAATGGGCAAATAAAGAACGTGACATTAGAATAACACTTAGCTATATTAATTGGTTAGAGAAAAGAATTAAAGAGAATAATGAAAGACTTTAAAGATTAGATGTGAACAGATGTGAATCAAATGCTAATTTCATTAATGATATAAAGAATTCAAAGAAAACACTTAATTTAATTGCTTTCCTTAGAAGAGCTGTAAAAAATGCAAAAGAAGTACATTATTATTTAATATAAGACTGATTTACCAACATTATTATAATCTGCTTAATTCATTCAACTCAAATCCTTCTTAGCTGATGATGGAGAAGAACTAGAATTGACATCTGAAGACAATGAGCCACCTCATGTTTATGATGAAGTAACTGAGACTCCTGAAGAAACATCAGTAACTGAAGATGTTGAATAAGAATTAGAAACTTCTGCTGCACCAGAAGAAGGAGTAGAAGCAGCTGATCATGAAATAGAGGAAGCATAATAAGTAGATCAAACAGAATAACCAGTTCCTGAACATCCTTTAGAAGCTGAAGAGAAGGCTACTAATGAATAATTAGCAAAGGAAGCAGCAGCATTTAATAAAATAATTGAAAAAGGATAAAAGGCTCCTGCTTAGAGTGGATCTGGAAAAGATTATTCATAATTTACAGTTGCATAATAAGAATTATTAAACTTTTTGGATGTTTTAGAAGATTAAGTTAGAGGATCATTTGGAAATAAATAAGATAATCAAGTCAATTCAGCTATGGGATATAGTGATTTTAAAGGTTTGATTACAAAAGAAAATGAAACATTTAGAGGACATTTAGCTGCAGAAGATGTTAATTTGGTATTTAATTGAAATAATTATTAAATAGGAAAAATTATAGAACCAATTGATCACTATTTTATAAGCTACTGCTGCTTGCAAGGATAGATTAAAGAAAATTTAAAATTCTATTGATTTAGCTAATGAAGTATTTGTACAATAAATACAATTAGGATTTGGCTAATGCTGAGGCTCACTTTAAATCAGTTAGTGAAACTCTTCAAGAGGAATAAAACGCTTTTGATGATGTTTACAGAATTTACTCAAGCCAAGTAGGTTCTCAAAGTACCTAATATAAGAGAGATGTTTAATCTAAAATTACAAATTGATTATGTAACATCAACATAAAATACAATCATTTTATAAAGCTCTATATAATTACTATATCAATTTCTTTTAAATTTTGCTTCTTTTATTTTTCCCACATATCTATTGAATGCACCCTTAATATAAATTAATGGATTTTTTCTGTTTTTAATTCCAGCTAAAATTGAACCTATTATATTAAATCCAATTATTGCCGAAACAATAAAAGCAACTCCTACTATTCCCCTTAATGGATATCTAATATCGTTGATTTTCAGAAATTCAAATATTGTATTTACTAAACTGAATCCAAAAATATAAGTTGAAAATGAGAAATCTAATACCAAAAACATCAGTAATAATCCTAAAAAGTCCATAAATAAAGCACAACACAACTTAATTATGAACTTATCTAATATTTTTTCTAAATCTTCATCAAATTTGATGTCTTCTTGTGATTTATAAGTTAAATTTTAAGACATAATTTAATTTATGAAAACTTTATAAAAGGCTATAAAGAAAAAAGGAAGCTTGACTCTCATAAAATAAAGAGATATGAAAGTTCATAATACATATAAGTAATTTGATTGAATTAATTGAAAGAGTTCAAAATGCTCCATTTTAGAACAACATGTCCAAATATATTTTGAATGGAAATTAAGTTTATGTTGCATCTTCATCTGATAAATCTTTTGAAGCTCTACAATAGAATTTGTCTTTAGTTGAACAATTTACTCCAAAAGTAATTATAATTAATCAACTAGATAGTGTGTATTGCTTGATACGCTTTCTAATAGAGTATTAAAATAATGGATAAAGGATACAACTATTGAAACATAAGAACAACAATTATTAGGTAAATAAAAATATACTAATTTATTTCTTAATGTATTTCCTAAATAAAGAGAATTCTTCACAAAGTAAGATAATGGAACATATGTTTATTATGTTAAAAATAGGTAGATTGAATTTTAAGATCAATTATCAGTTGCATATTATGCATGCAATGATCCAAAAATGATGATAATGATATCAAAACCAGATGAAATATTATAAATTGAGGATATTGTAAACAATTTTAATTTAGAAGAATTAAAAAATGCATTTTTGGATACAATTGAAAAAATGAAACTTGCTATTTTA